ATTATGATTTAACTGGTTTGATATTAATCATAGTGACTTACAATTATATATATTACCTTTTTCTTTTACTGTTCTACTGACATATTTAGTTAATTTCCTTTAAATTATTTTGACTATTTAGTTGGTTTGCTTTATTACTTCAGGTTTGACTTCAGATTTCCACGTCTGTCCTTACAAGAGTGGGAAAACATGTTCATATTAAAAGAACATGTAAATAATATTTAAACACTTCTGTTGTGAAACAGCAGACTCAAACACTTAAATACTGCAGAAAGACAGACGCATCAGCTGAACAACAACAGTTTTAATACCTTTAATACGTTCAACCATCTTTAATATTTTGGTTATCAGCACAAGCAGGTGAAAATATTCTCTATGGAAACAGGTATTACCGGTATTTCAACATCACTATACAACTTCCTGTCATGACAGCAGAGGTGTTCCCTCTGAGAATCCTGGCTCTGCGAAGACATTCCTTTGTTCTTTTAAGAGTTTAAGAGTTGGATGCACAAGGTTACATTTATTTAGGATTATTCCTAATCTGCACAGGGTCAAAGTGTGAGGGTTCCCCAGTCCTCCCTGTGTGCTGTCAGCGCCTCTCTCCCTCGCTCTGTCATTCTTTGTTTGTTTTGGTGTCTACTTCATAGGCAGGGCTAATTCCAGCTCCCTACAAACCACTCCCTTGAGTGATCGCTACCACTTCTTGGCAGTCACTCTTCACTGGATCGTCGACCTACCTCGTTAGTTAAGCCCCAGCCCCTCGGGTGTTTACTGCTTACCATGTTTCCCTGTGTGATGGTGTTCTCCGGTGTTCCATCCTAGGTGTTTGGTGAAAGTGTGTCCACAGGTTTATATCGTGATGTGGATGTGTGGACCTCTCCGTTTGTTTCCTAATCAGGCCCCCTCCTGTTAGGTGTACATTCCCCTAAGTCTTGTGTTTGGTGTTAGGAAATTTAAATAAACCTGTTGAACTTTTGGAAAAGTCCCGCTTCCGAATCTTGCTAGCTTGCATTGGATGTGACAGAACAACCCGGCCACACATCAAGGACTCAGGCTCTGACCCTGTACGCCTCTCCACCCAGGAGGCGCAGCTCAGCAGGCATGAACAATTATTCTGCCTCTTCTCTGGCAAACAGGACTCCATGGTTCTAAAAAATTGCAGATATGCTCAAGCAATCTCTAACTCCATCTAATGCCAACATTTCACCTCAACAGCTACCAGCAGAACCCTGACCATCCTGGACTGAGAGAGGACTGTGCCAACTCCTGATGAGTTAGAGAAAAGTACAGGTTTTGTCACTCAGTGCTCACTAGTTTTCAACAACAACCCTGGACGTATAAAACAGATGGTTCCAAAATAGCCACTTTGTTCAGTTGCTCCAGGGCCAGACGCTAAAGTGGGTCAATGCTTTTTTGAGATCAAACTTTGAGGTCAATGAACAGGTTCGATGGTGCTGCTCAGTCGTCAATGTTCGATGACTGAGCAGGTAAAAAACAGTCTTTAAAATCTGGAGAGCTGGAAATAATAGGCTCAGAAATGATAACAGTCTGGGATTGAGACTCCACAGAAACCTTAACAGTCTCTGTGCACAAAGTCTCATGAGTCTTTGGGGGCAGCTTACTAAACTCAGCAGTCCAGCAAACTCAGGAGGTGCCAAAACATAATATTCTCTCCCGGAGTTAGCCGACTGGACAGCATGAGCAACAGTCTCAGCATTTGAACAGGAAAAGTGCTCTCGTGATTCACCACTGTGTGCTGCTCTGTAATCTTGGGAACGGGCTGTGAAGAGGAGTGGCGGCGGCGAGGGTGCTGTTTGCTCCTGGATGAAGGAATTGGAAATGGTGGAGAAATGGAGACCTGCTTCACATCTCAGCAAATTGCTGAATCTGGGGGTTGATTTTCACCATTGCTTCCAACGCTCTCAGTCCCTCAGACATAACCCGCAAGCTATCAGACTGGGGGATGCCATCCAGCTTTTTAACCAACCTCTCCATCTCAGCCTCAAACTCCAAAGCGGAGCAGTCTGCGGGGTCCATCTTCTGGTCGTGACCTTCTGTTATGTGTTATGTGCAGGCAGGAACCAAAGTGCAGACACTCGGAGGCAAAACGTGAACTCAAAAGATCTTTATTGCTGAACATAAAATAACTAAGTGAAAATATCAATAAACTAAACAGGCAGGCTGGCAAACGGAACACACAGTGTGGGATGAGAGCAAACATGAGGGTAGATCACAGCACAGACAAAGGAAAACACAGGGCTTAAATACACAGAGGGAGCAATCAGGGAATAGGAGACAGGAGGGAAACATGTGGAACAAGGGCTAACAAGACAAGGGAAGCAAAACCAGTTACATTAACATGAGACACAGAATTTCAAAGTAAAACAGGAAACATAACACAGAGACGTGGACTTGACAAGGGGATAGAGCTGACAGTGGAGACGGAATAACCAGAGAACAAAGAGACCGAAACCAGAAGACAGAATTCTAAGAAACCCAAAGACTAGAAAGGATAAATAATGGCAAAATCAAAGTTCGATAATAATGTAAACTCACTTGCATCTTACATAGGTGCGCTTATTCTTTGCTACGGTACTTTACTGTTCCAATGAAACAAGAAGATCTCTTTTTAAAGTACATTTTTGTCCATCTTGTGATCTCATTTGCCATATTCTCTTAATACCTTAGAGCTATTTCAAGGGGGAAGAATGCTAGATACAATTTATAAATCAGGTTGTGATCTTAAAGTCAATCTCACAGCACTGATTTTAGAGCAATGTGCACCAGTTGTAATGTCAGTTAGAATTCCAAACTGTCCTTTCTCCAGTATTGGTTATGGTGAAATGTAAGTTGTTCTTTTGTGTGATTGCGCACTGCCCATGACAGCGTCGCTTAGTAAACTGTACAGCAGAAGTTTCAATTCACTTTTATCTATACATCACCAAATTACAACAACAGCCAGCTGGTAGTGAGACTGTTAGTCACACACGGTGGACAGAAAGTAATTTTTGAATTTAGAAAAAATAAAATGACTTAATTAACATTTATGGTTTTATTTATTATTACACCTTTTTTCCAGTCTTCTTACAACTATGACAAAGTGTGTATGGACTGTATGGGGGACCGTATCTTAACTATTAAGCTCACCATTTTAACATGATGTGTACATTACTTCGATAATATAAGCATGACAAGGAGTTTATGACTTACCTTATATAACACCTGTTTTTCTTTTCTCAAAAAAAAGACAGAAAACTTCACAATATGTTCTTTTCGTTATATATGTTATATTTTTCTAAATAATGTTGAGGCAATTGGATTGCTCAAATGAAAATATTTGATCTCTTATGTGTTTTTGTCATGTTGTTCAAAATTCAGATGATGACAGAACAGGAAGCCACAAAGCAACCATATTTTTCTCAAGTTTAACTCAACTTAATATTATCTGTATGGCCGTATTGCAACAACAGTCTGCTACTTAATGTTTCTATATGTATTGTGCATTTCATAGGAATTATTGTTTCATGATTTGGTTTACTCTGCATTTGGTTCAGATGATGTGAGTTAAAGTTGTAGACATCCAGAAAAACTCTACTATGGTCAGGTGACTATAAAGGAAGTTGTCACGGTTCTGGGTCTTTGAGACCCAGCATTTTGAGTTCTTGTAAGTTTAGATTATGGTTTATGTTCTAAGTCCTTGGTTGTACTGTTTAAATTATTGTCATTTCCCTAGGTTTCAGTTAT